AGAGTGTCTACGCAAGTAGCATCCCACACTAGGGCTTTACCTCTCTCCCAAGGGACCAATGTCATACCTTCGGGTCTCTTGCCATCGTCTCTAAATATTCCACAGGGCTCTAAAACCGAGGGAACATTTATAGAGCCAAGAGCCCTTCGGATGACATCGTTCAAAGAACTGTCGTGAAAACCTACAACCGCTTTTCTGACATGAAAGTCCGTGGAGCCCAAACTTGTCGACGCTGCTACCACAGGGTACTGATGGGGTTGACAAATCGCCGCTCCTACTCGGATTCCTACGGCAATGCGCAAACTTTCCCTATCAAGTAATGTGCCGAGATTACTTGACGGTAAAGCGTGTAACCAGTGACTAGATTCCTTAGTCGAAACAGCTAGAAGGCGTGCCTTATCTTGGTCACTATGGAAATTATGAAACAAATCCTTCTGCACGCCCTTACTTAATTAGTTAATATATATATAATCACTCTTTTCTTATGATTTTATTTATTTAGTTCGGTTATCTACAAAAACGTGGGTTTTTTTTTAGTTTTTTAAAGTATTATTTATTTTATAATGTAGGTATAGCATGCATTATGCATGCTTGATGTCATTTGTTGTAGATATTTTTTTGAATATTTATAAAATTAGCGTCATCATAAAAATATCTGTAAAGCACCCCACGATTTTCATGATAATCAATATTTCGTTATTTTAAAGTTATTGAAAATTATTTTCTACTTTTTAGTTCGGTTATCTACTAAAGCGCGTTTTTTTAATTTTTAAACGAAAGCGTGTTTTTTCTTCTTCTTGGCACGAAGTTCTTTTACACGGCTTACAGTAGATTTAACTGGTAGAAATCGTAGTTGTTTTATGAATTATTCGCAAACCCTAAGGATTCTGGCAAGGATAATGGGATAAACTATTTAAATTATTGTATTGTCATCGGTCCTTGATAAGCGTGTAAAGTTTCAAATCAATCCGACGATTTGAAGGGGATGAAAATCACATTCAAAAATTCTGTTACAGAGATACATACCAAGCTAATAAAAGCGTGTTAATAAGGCTTTATTTATTCTATCGTAAACATTTGAAAGGACCTACACCTACCTAGAGATCAAAGCAAGTAACTTATTAGCTTAGGTGAAGGCTCTTTGTTCCGTATGGATTTCCTGCCTTGGGCTACACCACAGCGTACATTTCGAACGAATTGAATCTCGATAAATAGTATTTACCAAGTATGTATTCGAATTGTAAATTTAATTGGAATTAAAGAACAGTGGGTCTCTACTCCTTTCTTTTAAGCGTAAATTAATTATTATTTACTTAAAATTGTTTTTCTACCACTCCGTCCAATAATATATCAAGCTATGTTTTATGTTAACGATCATCATGATCATCATCATCATCTTACAGCGCTTCACAAGTCCACTACTGAACAGGCCTCTTCCAGTCACCTCTTCTCCTCTTTTTCTGAGCCACCGGTTTCATCGACTTCCCACATCTCTTACCAAGTCTAAATGAAAGCATGTAATGAACATATATTATATGATGAACCAAGTGCTAGGATAATGATTTAAAATAATAAATGAAACGAAAAATGACAAAATTAATTGGATAAAATCCGCGTAAAAAATAAAAAAAAGATTTGTCTTGTCTAGTTTGAAGAGCAATTCTCTTCCTCCTGAATAGTGGTAGTGCACACAGATCTATCACCATCACTACTATTTTCAATACTACTTTACTAGGAAAGACACACCGCCATTGATAACACGACACGTCGTTTCGCTTCTATATGAGGAATCAGGTGAAATAGACTCTGATGGCTGACCGCAGGATGTTAGTCAAATAATTTTTACATCTTTAATATTGTGGATTTTCGCTAAGTAACACCTGATTTTATTACAAACATTTTACGTGTTTATTAAAATAAAACGAAATTAGCGTTAAGCAAAACGTCACAAATAAGTAGGCTTGTTTTTATTATATTGCACGTGGTAGAGCCATGCTGCAGCTATATTATGGTTGTAGCACGAATGGGTCGGCTCGACCGGGGAAGGAACTCGTTTGTCACCCGATCCTATAAAAAAATATTTACGGAATTTTCTATAAACCTCGTTTAATTAAGTTTCTATAAACTTTTATCGATACATTTTTTTTTATAGAATAGGGGGCAAACGAGCATGCGGCCCACCTGATGGTAAGTGACTACTGCCGCCCATGAACAACCGCAACACCAGGGGAATTGCAGATGCGTTGCCGGCCTTTTAGAAAGGTGTAAATAAAAAATGTAAATAATAATAATAATACATATAAATAAAATTTAAGTGTGTCTGTAATATAAAGTCGAAGAAAAAGTTTTTTCGTATTTTGTTTGTATAAAATTGAAGAAAAATCTCTTTGGTTATTTGTATCTTGCTGGTTTTAAAATCAACACATATAGGAAGAAAAGGAAAAATAAAAAGTAAAAGAACACTTTCTATAAACCATTTTTCAATTGTTTTTCTGTCCGCCAAAATGAGTGAATCTAACGAGGGAATTCGATACATTCTGATTCCAAAAAAGGAAAATGGTGACTCAAGGCGCGAAAAAAATTTGTGACGTTTGTGGACCTAAACCAGCGTCAATAAGAGTAGCATAAAATTGATTGAAGCATTTTCAGTGCGGGAATTTTGATGTCAAACATGCATATCGCTCTGGTCGTTCTCATACGAATAAAGTCGATGCCATTTTTGAAAACGTGGAGCAAGATTGACATATTAGCAGGCACGATATAGCCGAGGGATTGATGGTTGACCACAAAATAGTTTTGACCCATTTGAAAAAGTCTGTCAGCGTAGGCTATGCAAAAAAGCTCGATATTTAGGTACCATACGAGCTCACTGACAGAAACCTAATGAATCGTGTACTCATTTGCGATTCTCTATTGAAACGTTATGTAGCCGATCCATTTTTTAAAAGATTGATCATTGCTGATAAAAAGTGGATCACCTAAGACAAGAACGTGCGAAAAAGATCATGGTCGAAGGGTAGTCAAGCTTCACCGGCTGTAGCGAAACCCGGAATAATACGCTATAAGGTGATGCTGTGTGTATGGTGGGATTGGAAGGGCATAGTTAAATATGAGCTTTTACCTACGAGATAAACCATCAATTCGGATCTCTAGTGTCAGTAACTAATGAAACTCAAGCAAGAAATTGAGAAAAAATGACCGGGATTGATCAACAGAAAAAGAGTGGTCTTTCATCATGATAACGCCAGACCATACACATATTTGACCACTAAGCAATAGAGCTTGGTTAGGAAGTGTCAATGCATCCACCATATAATCCTGAACTTGCACTCTCAGATTTTCACCTGTTTCTGTTTTTTTCAGAATTCTTTGGGTAGTGTTAGGTTAACATCTAGAGAGGACTGTCGAAAGTGGATTCTTACTAGTTTCTTAATCTTGGATTTTTGAATCAAAATTCCAAAATTTCTACAGCAACGGGATTTTGGCAGTACCTACAAAATGTCAACAAGCTATCGAACGAAATGTCACATATTACATATTATAATTAAATGTAATTAAACGTTGACAAAAAAAATTCTTGAATTTGTATATAAAATACGAAGAAACTTTTTTCCCGACCAGTTGTATAAAAAACTGCCTTTTATTTAACTGAGTTATTTGCATGCCTAAACATTTTAAAAATTGTTTTGGCATGCAAATACATGACTAAATATTTAAAAAAATTGTCTGTCTGTCTATACGGGCTAATTTTCGGAACGGCTGAACCGATTCTGACGAAACTTCTCGAACATAATAGAGAGCAATGATAAGAGTACATTCGTCTTTAGAGGTGACAACGCATCTGTAGCGTTCATCATTTGAAGTTGGCAGCAGGCGTCTATGGACTACTGTAGCCACTTACCATCAAGTGGACTTAAGTACGTTTGTCACTTGAGTTTTATAAAAAAAATGTAGTCCTACAAGAATTTGTCATTTGACTTGTATTGAAAGACATAAGCTGTCATATTTATATATTTATGAAATTAATTTTTAAAAGCATATTGTGGGTCGTAATGACAAATTTCAATTTTATTTATACACTAAATAATTTACCTTTGCCTGTGATTTCAGAATTTGTAGCAATCATCGTCACTGAAGTGATACGTATGAAATACTGTTGATATCTTATTTTTAAATTTCTGATATATCAAAACTTTTCAGCATATTCGTATTATGGGTGAAGAAACATTAAATATTATTATACCAAGTTTAAATAAGTCAAACATTTGCCTGTAAGCTTGTAGCTTAAATCGTGGCAAACTTCGAACCTCGTTTTTCAAATCCATTCCCAAAACAAATGCCGCGCTCTTACCAAGTGCCCAGATAACTCCGACCAACATACGCGGGGCTTTATTTCTTTTTCTCTAGATTCCCGCTTAGAACAAGTTCTAAAGGAATAGAGAGGGAAAGAAGGTCTTTTTAAATTGGAAATGCGTTACTTGAGCACGTGCCGGATGAGTTAACCTGCGCACAACTACGTGAATCAATCAACGTGGTGAGTCTACCCAGCTATCGTTTTTGTAGCTTCTACGCATGCGTCGGACATAGGGATGATCTTTTCGATGTTTTCTTGGTATCTCCTTATTTAGGTGTAAAGATTGTGATATATATATATTAATGTTATTTAAATATCTAGGTATTGACAATTCATTGCTTTTCTATTAAAATAATTAATTATTAAGATTTCATAATATCAAAAATATTATCTACTTGAAATTATTAAACTAAAAAGAGTCTACATTCAAGAATATTAGTCGCCGATTTGTAGAAGATGTAAACTAATGGCTTAGAGTAAAATAGAGATAAGTTTTATCGGTAAGCAGGTCACATGTCAGGTTTTTATCGAGAGAACAACACTGTTCCTGCCACTAGAATGACTAGAATCCCGCCGAAAGGCGAAAGCATTCATTTGGTTTTTGACAGTATCCGCGCGCAACCGGTGTGTAGCAGACGTTGGCTACATGCCTTCCGCGTCGAATCTCGTCTACGCGAACGAACAAGGTACGTCATAAACTTCATTTTATAGTTTCGCATAAAAAAAATAAAACTATTTTAAGTGATTGTACCATTTATTATAAAAATATTTGCAATACAGATTAGAAGCATTAGTTACAAAGTTCGCCAAGAAACCAAATGTCTTCGAGGATGCCAAGTAAAATCGATTTTCCTTTTGAAATGCCGGGAAAATATATCTGTAGCATCCTGTACTTTTAATCAAACTTTGTGACCGGCTTTATGTAATTATTTATTTGAATGTTTTAGTATATTGCAACAGTATCTAAAAGACAAACACTTTCATGTAATGTTTTCTGTAAATAATTACAATTTTTATTCCATTCAATTTAAAAAATAAGATGCTTTATCTTTTTCGTTACCAAAATTAATTATTGCTAATAAATTAAATTAACAAGTTTAAAATATTACCATTATAACGCGTATCTACAATGCATATAGCGTAATACGGTACATGGAATGTTGATTCAACGAATCCATAATAACTAAATTTATATTTAGTTAATTAATTATATTATTTAAAGTTTCTTAAAGTCATAAATAAACTGTGCGTGCACAACATGTCTACTCGTATAATATTTATTTTAGCAAAGAACATTTAATTGATTATATTAAGCGTTCATTTGCTATACTGGTATTAACTCTTCATACAGTGATACATTTAAACAATATAATTTACATAATAGTTAGACAATTACAAAGTTAAAAAGAAGAATGCTGCTTGTACTCAATATAGTTTTTATTATGAAATTCTATTTGTTACAAAATATGTAGCCACATAATATATATTATACAGAATTTTTTTACATCCTATTTTATGTTCCGCTAGGGGCATATAGTATTAGACACTATTTTTGAAATTTAAAAAAAATGTTTCATAATTGTCTAATTATTTACGTCTAATTGGCGAAATATCGAATAAAAATTATTATTAATTTATTTTCTTGAACTATTTATCATTTAATTTAGGCAGGTATTATTTTGCTGGTATTTTTCAATCAATTCCATCCATCCATTCATCATTTATAGTCTATAGAATCTATTAGCATTATATGCTTCCCCCATAGATTGCCTCATAGGGGGATTTTTTCATAGTTGCCTTGCGCTTGGCAGGAGGGTTGGTAAGAGCAGTTTTTTTTTATTTGTAGAGTTGTCATCAGGGAGATGCTCATCTTCTGTTTCAGTTTCCCTCCTTCGCCTCTCACCACACCCATGGGACGATATGAGTTAGAGGATATTCTTACACCGTCACTATTCGGTAGTGTTTCATTTATTCAGTTCAAATGTGTACTTGTTTGAATTGTTCCACTTTTATATAAAGGTAATATTTTTGAATGTATAACTTCTATCTGACAATTGAAAAATTGCCCTAAATTATCTATTTCTATAATCAACAACTTATACGGCTGTTTGTTGGCCTTATTCAATTCTTATCAATTACCTTGTCAATAACTCTATACAAATCTCTAGTCTATACAAATGCATTTTAGAATTCCGAAGTTAAACAACAAGGAACCGTTATAGTTTCGCCATGTCCGTCCGTACAACCGTCCGTCCGCGGCTTTACTCAGAGACGCCAGGTGCTTGATATTAATCACGCCTACAAAATTTTGAATCAAAATCTTGAAAAATCTTGAAACATTTTTATTTTGGGTACCTCCCATACAGGTGACTTTTTACCCGTCTATTCCATCATGTGGGGTGTCGGTGGTCGTTGGTCTTTTGGAAATATTAGTGGTATGTGGCAACATTTTTTCGATTCAGGGGTCCGTTTATGAAATATCTACCCTAAAAGTGGTATTTTTTATTAGTCATGAGGGACACATGACTCTAATAAAAAATCGCCTCTACCAACTAAACCGCTGTTCGGAAATTTGAAAAGTGTGTACGAGAGGTGTATACAAGGAAGTCAAAAGGAATAAAACTAGTTTTTACAGATTTTATCGCGTATACTAACTTATTTTATATTCCCCATGGTTCGACGACGTATAATGTTAATCTGAAGGTAGTTATGGTCAAATGTGACATTGGAACGTCGAACACCTCAATCCTCCCCGTGACCATGGGTGCTGTAATGCACTCAAAACGTCGGTAATATACAATAAGTTAATATATACGATAAAATCCGTAAAACTAGTTTGATTTAAATGTGTAGTGTTCTCGTAAATAGCAGAAATCCTCAAGTTAAAAGGAAAACTAACACAGCTAAGTAGGCTTAACAAGTTAACGAGTAACAATCGACTAACTAATAAACTTTCGTTACAATTCTATAGAATATTACCTAAAACTAGCTACATTATAAATTTGTAATGTTATTGTAACCTGTTAAGAAAAAAAAAACAACACTTTTGTGAAAAAAGAAATACTTTTGCTTTATTACTACGGCTTTACGTTTTCCTTTATGGATTAGACTCGGCTCCAAGAATCGATCTCCAAGAGTCCGATCCTGACATACCACTTCCGTTTATTTTTTAGTTAGTAGTTATCGTAGCCTACTATTCATTTTTCGTACTCTTTGTTTACGCGGGCGACACTCAGGATAGTTTAGGGCAGTGGGGGTTTAAGGAAAGGTTCGTTACGGTCACGTATATCTTAGAATTGCACTGCCGGGAACGAATAGATAGATAGGGAACTATGACCATTTTGTACGGACTTGGCATGTGAATTATTTGATGTAGATTGTATTATTTTCTAAATCGAAATGTATTTTTAATCTTTTTTGAATATCACTCCCTAATTATCCGCATAAAAAATACATTCTTTAGTTACCTACTTGGGAAAATTGTTAGTCGTTATAGCAATCAAACCGCGAGCTCGCTTAATATGTTCATAGTATCAAGAAAACCCCTTCTAAGTTCACGTATTGTGACGGGAAACTACGAAACCCTCCATTGCGCGTGGCCCGACACGTTCTTGCCCGGTTACTTTAAGTATTTATATCGCACTCAGTTTATTTAGTCCTATTTACGATAAAATATCTAATAGAAATAACAATGATAAGAAAACACCGGGCACAGTCAAGATTACTTTTGGACCTTGTGAAAGCCGAAGCAGATAAGCAAACAAAATATTTAGTCCTAGTTCACGAGGTGACTGACATGTGGGTCTGTCAATCGAAATTATTCCTGTAATCGTCGGGATAGTTCCAGTCAGACTCTCAGATCATCTGAGAAGATTGGGACTCCGTGACGGACTGCTCCGGGCTCAAATGCAGGCGGTGCCCCTCGATACCGCTCGCATCGTCCGCCGGTTTTTTTCCCTTTCTCCATAGCGCTCAGCCGTTTGGTCTCCCCTGCCGTGAGTTTCCATCTGGTTGGGTTTTTTTCATTATACATTTTTTTATTTATTTTACTATTTTTAATGTATATTTAGATATATTTATCATTTTCTTTTATATATTTCAGTGTAAAGTCCCACCAGATGAGAAAACTACCCCATAATAATAATAATGAGTTCTGGTTTTAATTGTCGGCTAAAAACTATCAATCAAATAATGTTATAAGCACGTGCAAATAAGGCTGACTGGATATTTAGATAACTCGTTATTGTCGTCTTCGCTTGTAGTGCTAATTTCCTTCGGCTTTGCTATGATCAGCATCCTCATTGTCTTTCTCTTGTGCTTCATAATTGTCGAGATGTTATTAGAAAATACACAAAGTGCTTGATACTAAAAAGCATTATAATAAATATTATAGTCATTCAGCAATTTTATACTCCCAAATATAATATTATCTCAAAAAATTAAGGTAATTAACTACATTTTATATATTTCTGAAATGAAGAATAATTTTAAATTGAATAACAACGCAAAAAATAAATATATCGTAATATTGTTTTGCGTAGAACTTGAGTAAAACTTGATACTATATTCATGACTTACATCCTATTTATTTGTCTTTATAAAACAACTTACGTAGCATGGTAATTTTTGACAAACACTGATCTCCAATCCTCATCAACTCTAGAAGCAGCAACTAACATATTAAAATATATCGCTATTATACTAGTTTGCCACTCCATCTAGTGGGGGGCCGTCCCACACTTCGTCTAACGGCACGAATTCGCTACTCGAGATCCTTTCCTCCCCATCGGTCGTTGGTTCTTCGAGCTATATGGACAATCCATTTCCATTGACGACCTGGTAAGAGATGCAGGAAGTCTATGGATACAGGTGACTCAGTACCGTGCTTTGTGGCATTCCTTGGGGGAGGCCTATGTTCAGCAGTGGACTTGTGAAAGGCTGTAATGATGATGATTTTTACTAGTTCATTCAATGACCGATTGTAACATTCAATAAAGATGTTTAGTATAACTTTCATGCGTCTTATTCAAATACTGCCTATCTTGCTTGTCGATAGGTTTTGAAAATTTTTTGTTGATACAGTGTTAGGTATAAAAGGCGACTCTATAATGTAATACTTAATTTAAATAAATTCTTTTGGATTGAAAATGTCAAATTGCGTTTAAAAAGTCTAATTTTTTTCTCATTAGTGAAGAACGCTGCCATTAAACTCCAGCCATCAGCGAAGGAATCTAGTTAATACTATATATACGAAGTCCATCAATATCGCAAATAAGCCAAACTGCTACAACAAGTCTACAACAAGTTTAGGCTTGTCTTAAATCTTTTCTATTCTCAATATTTTCAAATGTCGCTTTTTTATTTAGAATTTCGATTAATTATATAATACCTAAATTCGTGATTGTCATCTATAGAATAAAATTATAAAGAAATCTGAATACTCATGTGAGAAATACCTAAATTCACGAAACCTTATAATATTTACTATAACGATCCGCTGAATAACATATATTTCATATGTTGTTGCAGGTAAAATCGTTTTTATAACATACTATTCGTTTGGTCAGTGGCGCAGCATAGCCATATGGCCAAGTGGGCGCTAAATCAAAATCTAAAGCTAAAAAGTCAAAATCATTTTCAAATATCTCAATAAATATAAAATATGTTAGTCTTTGTATAATATCTA